AAATGGGGCATGTAGTGTTATTTTTAGATTTTCTATAGAATAGTAAACGATATATTGTGCCAACTGGCTGGTCTCTGATCATATAATGAAGCAGCCTTGTAGTCTGTTGAGTGCATTGTGCTTGATGGGTACTAAACAGATTGCATACACAATGCACAGTAGACTGAAGTTGAGGGGTAGGGCATCAGTAGTCTATAGGAGCCCAACAGATTAATTTGACCTTGGATGTGAGCGTCATGCTCAAGATGGAAATTTCTGGATGACTGTTAGTGAATTTTGTAGTAGTCTAAGAATATTAGCGAGGGCATGTTTGCTTGCTCGGTGCACTTTCGAGACTTGGGTATCTGGTGGCCTGAAGTTTTGATTTAATTTTTCAAAACTGCAGTACAGTTTGCTATTCATCATCAGTCATCCTCTGATTTTTCTTTATGATGAGTCTAAATGCACTTATTCAGAACAGGAGCTAATTTCTACATAGTAAATGCCTGCATAAAAAATCTGTATGACTACAAGGACAAATGTTAGCTAAAGTACCTGCCCTGACAAATCTATCACTTATTATTTTAAGGGAAACAAGCAATAGAACACTTTATCCCACTGGAATATACTGCATAATGTTGCCTTCTGTTCAGAAGGTAGCTTAGCTTTGTGCAAGAGTTCATCTAATTTGCAGAATTAAAAATTGTAACTTTTCTTGCTTTCATATTTTGCATTCCAAACAAAAGCCTGCCAGTAGCAAATGACAGAATGAATTCAGCTCTTCTTGATTTGAGAATGATTTGGCTTTTGTTCATACAAGTATCATAACAAGATATACTGATTTTACTTGGTATCTGAAAGAGAAAATAACCAGATCATTAATATCAACTTTGGCCTCCATTCATACATGACATAGATACAACTTCCAGCACATTTGAAGCATGAGCAACTTAAATAATCTCTGTATCTATTTTGGTCCAGTTTTGACCACTGTTTAGACAGCACTGATAAACTATGCAAAGGCAGTATAAAACCATGGTCGTTGTGATGAATAGTCATGTTTAATTTGTTCATGTTTTTTTTTATTCAGATATTTTAAAATTACTCTCTAAAAAGTGTTTGTTTTACATCTTAAGCAAACATGTTCCTACAATCAAAATTTGTAGTGAAGGGGAATGTCTCATTCAGATGTTTGGGTATGAAAGATACCAACTCTCTTTAATTAATTAAGATTTACTACAGTTACATGTAGCCTAAATATAAATGGTATAACTATCTGTTTTATTATCAAGTAGGCTAAAGGCTAATGCTATATGTAATAAATCTAGGCTGAAGCAAAAATTTCTTTGGTCAATAGCTTATGGCTCCATCTTGTGGTACTATTCTGTCAGCACAGGTAACTATAAAATAGAGGTAGACGTGCTGATATACAGTAGTAGCCTATGCAGCCTGGTTTTATAGGTTCTACCCAAGAAGCCACATATTTAAAAAAAACAACAACAGTGAAAGACATATAGGCTATATTTTGACATAATGGTACAAATCCTATCTATGAATGTGAATAACATTTGATAGAATTTGAGTGTTTTCAACACTAATGCCAAGTCTGACCTGACCAACTAGTCAAAGAGGGTAACTTGCATACAGCCCCAGACCTCCAGGAGCACCAAGGGTTTCTGGTTTATTATATACAATTTGGGTCTTAATTTGATTAATAAAAACCAATCCAAATTTTGTTAGAAATGTGTACCACTGAAAATATTAACTATGTGAAGTTCTGCACTCTCCATCTTGTGGCCCTGGGCCTGAGGCACTATGTGTTTATATCCTGCATGAATATGTAAATGTTTAATTTTACTGCTTACTTGTTAAAATAAAGTTTTTTGTCTCGAATATGTAACAGAGTAAGGTTCTCTTATTGCATTAGAACAGTTGGACTACAACCAATAGCCTTTTTATTATCAGTAGGGCTGACGTGTTTTTAATCATCAGTAATTCAGTAGGCCTATAGGCTACATTTTGTAAAATGCTCCTACAACAGTCAAAACTATCATGTATAGTGGGGGTTAAATGGGCCCAATAAGAATGCTTGGGCCCATTCTTCATCAATTTAATTTGGCTTGAAATGTCAGTTCCTTTTTCACACCTCTTATAACCCCTTTCTTCAGAGTTCAGCAGTCGTGGACCAACAGCGATCAACTCTGCGTAGATCTTGGTCCTTTCGAACGCGACTGCTGCCAAATTGAAAACAGGCACATACAGGAAGTACTTATATTTTATTTTCAAATTAAAAATATAACAGTCACGTACAAAACACAAAACTATTTCTAGACCCCAAGCGACAATAAAATGTGTCAACATATTCAGTTAATATAAACAACAATTCCAAATTTATTTTTGCATCATGGCTCTGAATGCTATTATTGCAAAATTCACAGAACATGTTATCTACCTTGAAATTTACAACCGGAAACTGTTTTAGCTAGACTGGTCTATCGCCGACGCCTACTAACAGAAAATTCGGTAAGTGAAGAATCTACTGTATATTTATCATTAAATTACATTACATTTCTTTAAAAAGTGTAAATATTTTTGACTGCACATTTTCTGCTGTCTTTCGAGACAACCATTTCTCATTTCAAATCTCCGATTTCTCAACAAAGAGTAAAATATTTCGGGCAAAGTTTAATGTGAAATGGCGGCGAATGCGGCTAGAAGGAAGTTATTATGTCAGTAAACTGAGAGCGCTGAACTGTGTCGATGCAGCTAAAGGTAGATATATAAGTATAATTAACTAGATTTGTGACGATATCTATAACAACAAATAGTTGAACGATATATTGTAGGGATCTTAGGCTGCGGAATTGTAAGTTTGGCTTTAATGTTACATGATGTCACCAAACATTAAGACCCGCACATAACGTTACGCCTATTGAAGCCAGTTGTTGACACTTTTTCAGTTTTACTGGATGCTTTTGTTTGTCAACAAGCATTATTACACGACCATTTATATTAACCTTAAGAAACAGAATACAGATATTACAATCCGAAAATGTTAAACGTCATTGTGTCCAAGAAGTAAATTCAGAGCAATGATACATATGACTAGGAGTCCCCATTGCTTTTGTGTACATTTTTTGTTGTCCATTATCGATATGTTGAGCCTTTTCCCATGACAATCTGTCTAAAATGTTAATTATGATATTATTATAAGCTCATATCTACCAGGTTTAATGGTTTATAAGTCAGCATTGAGGTAGCCTATAGTGATGTATATTGAGCCCACTATCTGATGCTTCTCCACACTGCACTCTCTGGCCCAGAGCCGAGCTCTGGCCTGCATTTACAGCTAAGCAGCCCTGGACTGAGTCCATCCTTGAATGAGAAACCATTGGTTTTCAGTCAGTGCAAATGGCCCTTCTCCTTTCTTCTGAGAAGAGAGAAAAAAAACTATTGTCCTAATAAAACGAAGGCTCCCACTCCTGCACACTATAGCGGTGTCCATTACACAGCTGTATTGGGCTATAGTATGTATAATACACATGCTACATAGATGTCAAGTTATATGTGTTGCATTCAAATCATACCACAGTGTGATTGCTTACATTACTGCCTTGGATTTGAACAACACTCACGTAGAGCTGCTAAGATTAGTCAGTTAATTGACAGAAAAATTTATTGGCAGCAATTTGGTAATCATTTTAGTCCATTTTAACAACTAATTACAACAATTATACCAGAGTTCAATGTGATGTCTTCAGACTTCTGGTTTTGTCTGACCAACAATCCAAAACCTAAAGATATTCAGTTTATAATGATATAAAATGTAGAAAAGCAGCAACATGAACAAGTGAGATCATTTTGTATTTTCAGCTACATTGTCTGACCTACTTCATAACTGCCATTTTGGAAAACCCTACAATTAATTCACAGAACCTCCTGAGAGGGAACAAAGTCCATAAAGCATATCCATTGGTGCTCGAGTTATGTTTTTGTTATTTACTGCAATTGCACCTCCTCTTCATTGCAGTTAACACTGAGAAGGAAAAGGGAAGTTGTTGAGACACACAGAGGGGTGTAACTGAATGGTGCGATTAATGCATGCAATCATAACATGCAGTTTTCTCTAATGTTCTTATAGTGCATGACATTTTCTGGAGAAGCAGCCAGCTCTTTCCTTAAGGAATGCTCAGCTGTGTGTATTCTGTGACCGACTTCAGGTTGTGTTTCTGTTCACTGTCCTTACTTAAGACTTTGGAATTTCTTTAATCTGTGTGGGAGTACAGCAGAACAGCTCAACTGTGGCGCTTACCTCAGAATTTATCTGCAAAACTATATTATAATGGATTGTACTTTAAAATTAAAAGCAATTGTGTGTTTACTCTCAGTTACAAGGTTATTAGATATGAAACCAAGAGGCAAGGTTGTTGCAATATATCACTGTAAATTGAATATCTTTGGGTTTAGGGCTGTCGTTTAGGCAAAACAACCAATGTGTAGATGTCACCTTGGGCTCCAGGAACTTGTGAGTGGCATTTGAGAAGCTTTCTGTTGTTCTCCAAATTGATTTATTGACAAATTGTTTAAGCTCTCTGTACCAAACTGTTATTTTGGAAAATTGCCAGATCAGTAAGGAAATACACTGACTACATTATATTCAGTGGTGTCTCTATAGTTTTGTCTTCCCCAGCTGGATACACGAGAGGGTCAGAATGTTAGGAACACCTCTGAATACACTGTAGTCCAGTATGACACCACCTTTTACTATGACCTCAATCATAAAGATATCTGAATTTATACATAAGTGTAAGTGTACATGGTTTTGGCATACTTAATTAGCAAACATCTTATTTGTCCATATTCTATTTTTTTTTATTTTACTTTGATGATAATGTGTAATAATCATATTTATCTTTCCTTCTTAGCATAAAAAAATCAGACAACTTTGGATGTGTGGAACTAATGTTCTGCTTTTACCACTGTCCATAGTTGATCATCAAAAGCAAAATCAAACATGTTATCCTCTAGTTAGAGGGAAGAAGAAATAAGCTATCCCTGTTGGAGGGAGCAAAGAGGGGGGTGGAAGGAATATGGGGAAGTGGAGATGCATTTCCCATAAGTCAGTGTCAGCCAGCTCCTCCCCCTAGCTGGATGAGAGCCAGCATCAGCCGAGTAGAACGGCAGAGACTGAGCTGACATGCTGGTGAGGATAAGAGGACAAACAAGACAAATGTAGCACCTAGTCTAATTCAGATGACAGGTTATTCAGGGAGGATACGCAGGAGTGAGATTGCAGTTCAGATTGGCATCTACTGGTATGTCTACACGCCCTTTGTCTTCACACACACAAAGAGTTGTTTTTGTGGTTGTGTTTATTACAGAGAGTTTTTCTTTGTTTCCTTTCCACGTAAATTCATTGGGGTGTGGTGCTGTGCGGTGCGGTGCTTTCAGAGCACCGGTGCAGCATCTTAAGGAGGAAGTGACAGTTGAATTACTTCGTTTTAGATAGCTAATCTTGCAGTGCATGAAACTGGCACACAAGGTAATGACTAAACTTAAACAGCTTTGACTGAAATGTGACCACGGTTTGATGTCAGTTTTTATTTGTACTATTGCTTGTGTTAGTATTGTCAAGAGCAAGAAAAAGCAAAAATTACTGGATTAATATTTGTTGGCGTTATGCGGTTGTTTTAGTCAAGATGTTGGACTTCCCTCTAGAATATCTGTGGTATACTGTATGTAAATGTGCCGAAAGAGCCAAAAGCTGACAGGAATATGCTGATGCATCATCCTGCAGCTTTAGTTCTAGTCCTCAATTTGTATCTTTGAAACTGCATTTAATACATATACCCAGGGCTGAGCTGTGAGCAGTGTGTCTCACTGTTCAGATTTTGCAATGTTTTTCTGATCATAACATCCAAGTCATGGGCATCATGCAGCTCTTGACTGGAAATTCAGCCTGGCCTTGCCTAATACACTGTGGTTGACTTCTCACTGAAACTGAGTACTTGCACTTAACGACATAGTTGCAACTGTGAAAACAAGGCCAGGGTTGAATTTCCTGTCTCATCTGCTGACCGCAAACTTTCATATTTCAGTTCATTTTAATGTTCAAGTGATCATTGTGCTTCTTAATTGACAGGGCACAGTCAAGTTTAAATAAGCTATAAGGAAGCACGGATTAATATGTTCTTAACCAAAGTATAAAACCTGTCATTGCTGAATGGGATTTGACAGGATGTTTTGGTGAAAACGTCTTACACTTATATAGCACTTCTTTGTCTATTTATGCATTATGCTTGCTCAAAGCACTTTACAGTATATTTACCCATTCTTCAGTTCTCACACATGCGGCCACCCTACCACTCACACCAATGGGAACCATGATTGACAAGAGTAAAGATCTTAAGTTGAATCAAGTTTGTGAATTCTTCTGCTTCTTCAACTATAAAGTTGGTTATTCAGGAAATACCAATATTAACGTCTTAGGCCTGATGGTATTTGCCAAATATCCTTAAAAAATAATGTTAAAAGCTAAATAGCAGATTTTTTAGCTTGGAAATAAGATTATCTATAATTTGGTTGTCAATATGCTTTTTTTTTTTCTTTGAGGCACTTGAACACTCACATTAGCAGATAGCAGAAATGTCATTTGTTCCATTATGGAAACACAATTTTTGCTCACACAAACTTCACAACATTTGTAAAGGTCACTCACTGCTGAGAATAGGCAGCAACCATGTGATTTACCACATAAACATGAAGCAATGACATTTTTTGTTAACACGTTCAACTAAATCGGTTTTGATGTAAAAACCTGTTGACACTTGGCAACTATCAAAATCAGTTAAAGCAAAAGACCAAACATTTGCTGGTTCTGATTTTTCAAATCATTTATGTTTTCTTTGTTGTACCAATGATATTAGCACCCACGTATTTCTGTCAGATAACGCACTGCAATCACAAGTTCTTTGGTATTCTAATGTTTATTTCTTTTGTTTGCATTTTAACAGCACAAAAACAGCTGAGAAAAAAATACAAACCTGATCCTTTCCACACAGAACTCTAAAAATGGACTTGACAGAATTACTAACACCCTCAACTTAATATTTGGTAGCACACCCTTTGGACAAAATAACTGAAATCAGTCGCTTCCTGTAACCATCAGTGAGTTTCTTCTACCTCGCTACTGGAATTTTGGACCACTCTTCTTTTGCCAACTGCTCCAGGTCTCTCAGATTTGAAGAGTTACTTCTCCCAGCTTTTGTTTTTAGATCTCTCCATAGACTCATTGCCGGCTACTTCTGAACTCTCCAGCACCTTGTCTGAAACCATTTCTGGTGCTATTTGAACTCTGCTTTGGGTCATTGTCCTGCTGTAAGCATTAGGATCAACTTATGCTAAGACCCAGGACCTTTGACGGGGACCCAATGTTCTGACACTGGCCTTACAATGTGCCCCAGAATTCATTGGTAGTCTTCACATTTCATAATGCCATACACACAGTTAAGACATCCAGTGCCTGAAGCAGCAAAGCAGCCCCAACACATCAGTGAAGCTTCACCGTGTTTGACTGTAGGGACCATGTACTTTTCTTTGAAGGCATCACTTAGTTTTCTGAAAACAGTAGAATGACGTGCTCGACCAAAAAGCTCTATTTTAGTCTCATCTGTCCACAGGACGTTCTCCCAGAAGAACTGTGGCTTCTTCAGGTAAGTTTTGGCAAACTCCACTCTGGCTTTTTTATGTTTCTGTGTCAGCAGTGGGGTCCCCCCTGGGTCTCCTACCATAGCATCCCTGTCATTCAAATGATGACTGATAGTGTGAGCTGACACTGTTGCACCCTGTGCCTGCAGGTCACCTTGAATTTGTTTGGAAGTTGATCCACGGTTCTTTATCCACCATTGGAACAATCCATCATCTATTTTTCTCTTTCGTCCACGTCCAGGAAGATTAGCTCCAGCACCATGGGCAGTAATCTTCTTGACCATGTTGCACACAGTGGACACAGGACCAGCCAGATCTCTGGAGACGGACTTGTAGCCTTGAGATTGGCCAGGATTTTCCACTATTGTGGTTTTCACATCCTCAGACAATCCTTTGCTCTTCTTTCTTTTCTTCATTCTCAAGGTGGTCCACACAACACAAAGGTTGAGTCAACTTTTCTCCATTTTAACTGGTTGCCAGTGTAATTTCTATGTTTCCAGCACCTGTTGGTTGCTACAGGTGAGTTTCACCACAAATTAAAGGAGCATCACCTGCTTGAAATACAACTATTTCTGAATATTTCAAAAAGGTGTCAATAATTCTATCCAGTCCATGTTTGGAGTTCTGTGTGGAATGGATCAGACATGGCTTTTTTCTAATGCCTTTTTGTGTTGTTCCAATGTACACAAAAGAAAAAACCATGACAATACCAAAGAATTTGATTGCAAAAATTTTCTAAGAGAAGTGGTGTGTTATCTGACAGAAATGCAGGGGTGCCAGTATTTTTGGCCATGACTGTATGTGATGGTAAACTGAGTGCCATTGGGTTTTGGACTGCTTGCTGGATGATGATGATAAATCAGGAAAATAATCGGTAGGATAATTTCATCTCAATTATAGTGTTGTTTTTATTCTTTAGCGTGGCACACAACACAGCCAGTATGGCAACTAGGATGCAGTTGTAGAGGAAAGACATATATAAGTTGCTTGTGAAATTCTTTTTTCTAGATCCAGCAGATGAAATGGCGGTGAGGCAGAGGATATTCAACTCAACAGCACCATTCTCTGGGTCAGCGCAGGCTGAGCTGAAGGGGTCATACCCATCTTGCTCAGTCGCTGACCAGGAGACGGAGGAGGAAGAAGAGGAGGGAAAGGATAGTAAAATGGGCTTTGCACAATGTAACATCTACATAACAAAAGTTCTGACACATGGAACTGCAGAGCAAGTGGGAGAAAGGCCAGTGAAGACCTCAACCTTCATTGCTCAGGCTGAATGTAAATATGTCTTTTAGATTGCTTTTTTTATATATATAATAAATAATTGTGCGAAGACAGAATTTAACACTGTGCTCTCATCAGGTGAAAGCCAGGACTCCCAGGAGTTTAGTCCATCTTGTTCTGAACGGTCCTTTGTTCCCTCTCCCAACTGCTTCACCAGCAGGTATGACATTTCCTTTGTCATTGCCTGCATTTCATACCTCATATTTGCATACACAGGTTATGCTGAACTGTTTAAGACCATGCTTGGATTTCATCTCGTTGCCATACTTCTCCATCAGTCTTTCCTCAGAGCGCAACAACGTGGCGTGCCCAACCACAGCCTCCATCCAGGAGCTGAGCAGCTCATCAGCATTGCTCACCCCCAGGAAGAAGACTAGGAGGAGACAGAAGCGTAAGGGGAAGAAAAAACAGGAGAAGAAGAAAGGGAAGCGGCGACACAGACATCGTATTCCTTCTGGAACAGTTCCTGAACAGGAGAGTGGAAGTTCTCTGGTCCAGATCCAGGTGAGAACTAGATTTTTTTTATTTTGAGCCTCACATGTAAAAAAGCTATTGAAAAGGCCATTCAGAAGTATGCTGACATAATATACTCCTGTATTCTTGAAAGTGCTTGCAGTGTTTTCCTTGTTAATCATCTTCAAGGATAAATTCAAACATTCTTTGGCAGCCGGAGGCTTAGTCTTTAGATATTCCCATGCAACACCCCAGCTTTCCTGTTTTGTGGAAGTGAGTCACTGAATTCAGACAAAGCTGCCTCTCACGGCCTTGAACGTCCAGCCCCTGAGCAAGCTTACCTGAGAATGTAAACACCATGTAATCTGATCAACCACACTGTCTGTTTGTCTCCTTAGGAGGAGTTGTCTCTTGGAGGGAGAAGCAGCCTCAGTACTTCTTGTTGTAGCAGCACTGAGAGCTCAGAGGAGCAGGACAGAGGGCCTCTTCTCTGCAGTCAGCAGATCTGCAACACACGCTCCAGCTGCTCTCCTCTGAACTGGAGGCCACTGGGAGTCTGCAGCTACTTCTCCAATCCCCATTCCTATGAGCAGGACAGCGACTCAGACTCCCACAGCAGTCTGGGAGACTGCTCGCTGGCTCTTGCTGGCCTCAGGGGCAGCGTCAGTCAGGGGGACCCTTGCTACGCAGGGCCCTTTTTCAAAGATGTAGAGAGGGATGCAAGAGAAGAGGAAGATGAGCTCTCAGCAGCTGATTCTTTCAGCAATGAGGGAATAATCTTTTACAATGAAGTATGTTCTGCTTTACTTCAGTCTACTTCCTGTCTTCTGTTTGTTTACAATGCAGTGCAACCAAGCTTACCTGTTCCTCTCTTTTCTTAAAAGAAAATTCAGCCTGTGGACTCTGAATACAAGGAAGGGAGGGAGTACGTCCTTACACGGTTTATCAAGGAAGGCTCCTATGGCGAAGTACACAGTGCTCAAGATGTCAACACAGGCTTCAAATTTGCTGTCAAAAAGGTAACACATTGCACAGCATTCTCTGTTTTTATTTTCTAATGCCCACTTTAAAAAATGTGCTCTGTGTCATTGATTAATCATTGTTTCCATTGTTTTCTGACAGATGCCACTGGAGAGGTTCACCAGTGAGGAGGTGGGTGCGTGGAGTGCCCTCAGATCTCCTTATGTGGTGGAACTCTTCGGAGTGGTCAGAGAGGGACCTAATGTTGTCCTTTTGATGGACCTCAAATCTGGTAAACAAGCCTCATTTCTGCCTTTTACACTCAGCACCTTCTGACAATACTCACTGCTGCTGTTGATGGGGAATGAGGTTTAAAATGGTTGCATGGGATGTGATGAACTAAGGACAGACACATGAACAGTAGATGCACTGTGACGAACAACCATACGCACGCACACACACACACTCCTATGGGCAATTTAGAGACACCAATCAACCTAAGCTGCATGTCTTTGGACTGTGGGAGGAAGCCGGAGTACCCGGAGAGAACCCACGCAAGCACGGGGAGAACATGCAAACTCCACACAGAAAGGTCCCGGGTGGGGCCCGGGCCCAGAACCCTCTTGCTGTGAGACAACAGTGCTAACCACTGCGCCACCGTGCTGCCCGTGCTAACAGAGTTCAAGTGTACTGAAAAACAGATGTGATTGGTGTTGAGATGTGAAAGTGGGTGATTCTGGGATGCTAGAGATGACTGTCGTGGTGTTTTGTATTGCAGTCCAAATTACACCAAACATCTATGGTGTGAGATGGCCTCCTCAATAACACAACATACCTCACACTTTTCCTTTGTCAACTGCTCCAAAACACTTCTTCACAGACCATAATAGCAGAAGAAACAGTTGAATCAGATGCTGTGAACTGGTAAATATTAACAAGGCCTGATCATATCTGTTATTTCAGGCTCCCTGGGCCAGTTGATAGTGGAGCGTGGTCGGCTGCCAGAGGATCTAAGTCTCCACTACCAGTCACAAGTCTTAACAGCGCTGGAGTACTTGGTAAAGAAAAAAGTGGTGCATCTAGATATTAAAGGTATGTTATACAAAGTATTTCTTCTTCACAAATAGTCAAAACACAAATGGCGATACCATTGATGTGTGATTTGATCCCTTAAAAGTGAATCCTTTAGGCACATAATTACTGATGTTTGACATGTGAGTACCTCTAAAATGCCTGAAACAGATTCATAAATATATACAGACATACAGTAGAAAGACATCTACAGTATTGTAGGTTTAACCTCAAATTAACCATCATCATTCAAGACTGATATGTTTAAAAGACAGGTTTTCAAAAGTATTTAAATCATTGTCAGTGTTTCTTATGTAGAATATTTTTGCGTGGTGCAACAGAAGATTTTCTGAAATGCAACATGCAGTGGTGATTTTACTTTGTGAATGTTGTTTTTATTCAGCCCGCTGCTTCTAGAACCATAAATTATCTAAAATATAAATGTTTAGACAGAGAAAGCAACAACTAAATTGCACCAGATTTCCTCTGTAATCACACAGACTTCAGATATTGGCATTGTGTCAGCTTGATATTGACTTGTTGTGGTACCTAGTGGAAAACAAAATTATACTGAGTTTTAGATTTTTAATTAGTTTTCATCAGAGGACTTTGTGCCTTTGTGCAGCTGTTGTGCGGAACACAAGTGTCATAGATGCAGTCTAGATTTGATCTGCAGCACCTGTGTTGTGAAACCAGACTACCACAGAGAAGACTACGGGCTGGGAATTTCCCACAGTATGACTCACCGCTGCTTTTTAGAAACAGCGCATGTGCACAGAATCAGGAGATCAAGAAAGAAGGGAGAACGAAACAGGGGGGAGGGTTGAGCTGGTGGGAAGAGGAGCAGGAAGTAGTTGAGAGAACAACAAGAGAAAAAGACAGAAGAAAGGCAGAAGATGAAGTATTAAAGAAAGAAGGAAACAAAAACAGAAGGGGAGCTAAGTTAGAGGAAGAACATGAAACAGACAAAAGCTGAGGGCAAAAAAAAACAAAACAGAAAAACAATTGTGCTGTTGCAACTCAGGCGCCACCTGGTGCCTGTAATGCCTCAAGAAAATCAAGGAAGTAACACAAATCTATGTATCTGCTGCTTCTTTGCTACTACTCTCCACATTCATTCCACATTAAAATGTTTTCAGCAACTGTTGTCCCTCAGAGATTTCTTTTTCTCTTTTATTTTGCTCCTTTGTCTGTAGACTTTTATGTCTGTGCACCTGCCTTGTTTCTAATTATGTCATCCATGCTGTAAATGACATAACACAAGTCACTGAAATCAACCAAGTGCCATTGAGGGCACTAAACTGTGTCAACACTATTCAGGCCATTTTATTTATAGCTCACACATTAAAAACATCAAATGTTGCCCTAAGTGTTCAGTGGAGACTGCTGCTTGTTTCCCCACAGCTGACAATGTGTTGCTGTCAGAGGACGGTAGAGACACCTTTCTGTGTGACTTTGGACATGCGGAGAGAATCGACAATCAGGGGCAGAGCCTCAGTGGGTCCAAAGGTAAATGTTGTGTATCTTTATTTGAGACGGTGTGCAATTTACTCACTTTTATGTCTTAATTCAATATTTTTCCAATGTAATTCAATATAGATCTGAAGGGAACAGAGACCCATCTGGCACCTGAGATTGTAAAAGGGGAACCCCGCGGAGCCAAAGCAGATGTGTGGAGCAGCTGCTGTATGCTACTGCACATGCTCAATGGGTGTCAGCCTTGGACAAGATACTACACCTGTAGACTTTACCTGAAGGTATCTTTCACAGCAACATATGGACACTACAGTGTGCTGTTTCATCACAAATGTTCAGTCTGCTCTTCACAATATTCACATCAGACCCCTTGACCAAGTCCACTTTTTGTGATGGTTACAGATTGCTAATGAGCCACCGCCTCTGAGAGAGATCCCACCTGACTGTAGCTCTCTCACGGCTGAAATAATAAAAGCAGGTCTCCAGAAAGATCCAGTCAAGAGAGCATCAGCATCTGCCCTGAAAGAAAAAACTGACAGAGCCCTGAAAGAAAGTAAGTAAAAATGAGGGGTATGTCTTTGCTGCCCCCAGTTGAAATTACATCTTCATCTACAGTGTAAGTTACTGTGTTTGTGTGATTGCAGTTGGAGGGCTCACCAGCCCAGTTAAGGGGCCCTACACAGAGCCGCTGTACATTGCCAACAAACCTCCAGACTCCCTATGGCTCACCAGTAGTAATGTTGAATATGAGGGCGAGGAGGAACATCAAGAGTATGTTGAGAAAGTGATCACACCAGGTAGGAGGACAGAACAACCATATAACTGTGATGAAGACCAGGAGGCTGATTGTCATGAGCCAAAGCGAGGCTCACCTTTCTGTCTACAAACCCTGAGCTCCGAGCCAAATCACAACAAGGGCAACAATATCTCCACTGTGCCTGAACTTGAGCTACAGAAGCTGGAGCGAGGTGAAGTTTCTTTGAAGGTTGTGTTTATTTTCCTATGCCCAGTCGAGGGTATTGAACTCGGCTCACTGTTATTTGCAGATTTCTACCTGAGCAGTCTGTCCCAGCCTCAGTCTGCTGAGATGCAGGAGCAGCTCTTGTCTTGTCTCAGCAGTGATCCATATTCCAATTGGGAACCTTGGGACAAAAAGGTAATCCAAAATACCCAACAAAGTACAGCTCTAATTAGCATCACAGTAAGCAGAACGTTAATGATTGGAGAGATCTTGATCACTGATAAATAAGGTGTTTTTATTGTAATGACATTATATGATAATTTTTTGATTGAGAATGAAAATTTGAGCAGTTTGACTTGTTCAAAGCATCAAGATTTTTTCATGTAAACAGAGTTTATTTAGTTTTCATCAGTTTTGACTGAAGTATTAACAGCCCTACTGTTTTTGTGTTTCTTCTTTTTTAAATGTATCCCAGGACTCTGGCCGCTGGTCCCTGAGCCCAGGAGATGACTACAGCTCCGGTGTCTTCTCCTGCAACAGTCAGCCAGATGTGCAAGTCGTCGGTATGGATTTGCTCAGTCACACACAGCTACCACCACCCTGTTGTTTTGAAGGTAACACTAAAAATGATTTGTGGCTCTCTCTTAATCTGTTTAATATAGTACCACACTGTAACATGTGATGCCATTTCCCTTACATCATGTGTCTATGACTGGCTCAGGGGTGGATGTGTGCATCAGAGACTTCAGGAGGAGAAGCATCCGGATCAGAGAGACACGCCGGGTGAAAATTGGCCACATCGCCACTGGAATCAGTGACCAGGTCAGGGCTAACTGCATCATATGCTACTGTATCAAGATGGCAATTCATGTTTAACTCTTTCAGTGTTTGGAAAGAGCGAGATTGTTTAAATGTTATGTGTCTCTCCTTTTTAGATATCTAAGAGGGTTTTCACTCTGGAGACCCAACAGGGCCAGCAGATTGCTCACGATGAAGAGGTGCAGGAGTCTGGTCTGGAGCTCTGCTGTGTTCCTGCTCCAGACTTCAGTCCTGGCTGGAGGTGGAGAATCAGAGATGGGGTGCTGGAAACGAGATAGAGCCCACAGCTACATCGTTCCATCGGCCCCAGTGTCATCTTGATCATTAAAAATGTGTACTTTTCATTTGTCTTGCTGTATGAGGACCATTTTTTTAATCTGTGAACTGCCTTTGTTGTTTTAAATGCCTTAATAGGAAATTGTTGTTTGGCTTTTGGTCAATTAAGCGCTTATGACAAACCATTGAGCTTACTGTAATGTTTACATATTTCCTCTCATAGGAGTCAATAAACAGTTTGGTGAACTACAGTGTGCTACATTACTGACCTCACCTATTTATATCATTCACAATCTAATCTGTAATACCATAGTGATAGTTGAGTATGAACATCATTCCTAATAACATCATATGAAGTTAGACATGTAATTACCATTTCTAGGCTGCAGTTTGAATGTGTTTTAGGCTGTCTGTGTATGAAAGCTGTGTAAATCAGGTTTGTTCTCCACCTCTGGTAAGATGGTGATCTTATTCAAACAGGTGTTCTGCACATACAGTGAGGAACAGAAGTATTTGAACACCCTGCGATTTTCCAAGTTCTCCCACTTAGAAATCATGGAGGGGTCTGAAATTCACATTGTAGGTGCATTCCCACTCAGAGAGACAGAATTAAAAAAAATTTTAGGAAATCACATTGTATGATTTTTAAAGAATTTATTTGTCTTGCACTGCTGAACATAAGTATTTGAACACCTGAGAAACAGCAAGAATTCTGGCTCTCAAAGACCTGTTACTGTGCCTTGAAAAAGTCCACCTCTACTCCACTCATTAATCTAAATTAGTAGCACCTGTCTGAGCTCTTTAAAGACACCTGTCCACCCCACAGTCAGTCAGACGCCAACTACTACCATGGGCAAGACCAAAGAGCTGTCAAAAGACACCAGAGACAAAATTGTGGACCTCCACAAGGCTGGAAAGGGCTACAGGGCAATTGCCAAGCAGCTTGGTGAAAATAGATCAACTGTTGGAGCAATTGTTAGAAAATGGAAGAGGCTAAAGACGACTGTCAGTCTCCCTCGGACTGGGACGCCATGCAAGAGCTCACCTCGTGAGGTATCACTGATTATAAGAAAGGTGAGGAATCAGCCCAGAACGATAGGGAGGAGCTGGTCAATGACATGAAGAGAGCTGGGACCACAGTTCTGTCGGTAGAACACTACGCTGTCATGGTTTCAAATCATGCATTGCACAGAAGGTTCCCCTGCTCAAGTCATCACATGTCCAGGCCCGTCTGAAGTTTGCCAAAGACCATCTGGATGATCCAGAGGAGGCATGGGAGAAAGTCATGTGGTCTCTTCATGTCATTGACCAGCTTCTCCCTTGTAGTTCTGGGCTGATTCCTTACCTTTCTTATCATCAGTGATACCCCACGAGGTGAGATCTTGCATGGCGCACCAGTCCGGGGGAGACTGACAGTCGTCTTTAGCCTTTTCCATTTTCTAACAATTGCTCCAACAGTTGATCTATTTTCACCAAGCTGCTTGGCAATTGCCCCGTAGCCCTTTCCAGCCTTGTGGAGGTCCACAGTTTTGTCTCTGGTGTCTTTTGATTGCTCTTTGTTCTTGCCCATAGCAGTATTCGGCGTCTGACTGACTGTGGGGTGGACAGGTGTCTTTAAAGAGCTCAGACAGGTGCTACTAATTTAGATTAATGAGTGGAGTAGAGGTGGACTTTTTCAAGGCACAGTAACAGGTCTTTGAGAGCCAGAATTCTTGCTGTTTCTCAGGTGTTCAAATACTTATGTTCAGCAGTGCAAGACAAATAAATTCTTTAAAAATCATACAATGTGCTTTCATAAAATTTTTTTTAATTCTGTCTCTCTGAGTGGGAATGCACCTACAATGTGAATTTCAGACCCCTCCATGATTTCTAAGTGGGAGAACTTGGAAAATCGCAGGGTGTTCAAATACTTCTGTTCCTCACTGTACATCTGCTGAACACTTTCTATTCCTAGTACCCAGAAAGTGACTTGATGACCTTTACTGTTTTGTTACCATCAATAAAAATGTTGCCTTGGCCCATGACCAAGTCTTGAAAGGTTAAAAACCACTAAGTTACTGTAATGCCTGGATTTCCATGACATTTACAATGGATATTGATGAGGCCTAGATATTGACTCTCAGTGGTTACAGTTGACTCCATGACCTTTCTTCTAGTACCACTAATAGGTCAGTTTTGAACTATGAAAATCTACTGGGCAGATTACAGTGTAAATATTAGTGTTGATCAAATGAAGCCTGTCCATTTTAAAGATCCAAAATATTTTGCTGCCTTGCAAAATATAGAAAACACAATGTATAATTCAACTGCCATATGGTCATAAAAATTGCTATGACTATTAATGCTTCCAAGAATTAAAGTTTTAAATAATCACCGCCCATTTTTCTAAAAACCTCACTGCATTTTTTTTTTTTTCTTTTGCACTTTGTGAAAATAATACCAAAAGCTTGGGTGTGCAGGTATTGCAATATTCAGTGTGAACATTTAAGACACATTTTTAATTACATATGGAGTATACAATAAATCTCAGCAGTCCAGTGGGTCTGAATTTAAATTTCTGTAGTGGTACCACTATAAGCATCTTGAATATAAACCGTATCCCTAAAGTAATTAATATAAACCCAGAGCCAGAGTAACAGTTAAAAGGTTTATTTTCCATATTTTTACATAAAAGGTCACTGCAAAATTTTCAGGAAGAATTGAAACAAATTTTTGCTTTACAAATGTGATACAAAAGGTGAAAATCTGAGAATATCAAAGTGAGTTCAGTTTAAAAAAACACCAAGGCACTAACAAACAAGAAAAATGTATAAAAAGCCTTTTGCCATCTAATTATATCGTAGCTTGAATAACGTAAAAATACAGTACTTTGTATATGTGTAAAGTGAGGTAAGCATCTGTGAGCAATCCAGTGCTTTCTCTGTCTGCAGTGCAACTTCTTCTGAACAGGAAGCATCAGTCCATGACTTGTGGCTCCATTCACAACACATTAAACATAATAGGCAGGGTTTATGTTGTTGGGAGTCACATAAAGGTAAAAATGCCTGAAGAGGGCATGTGACTGAATGTTAACTGTAGGAATTTAGATCAAGTCTTTTTGAAATCACATAACCTATGAACCATGCAATGATTGGTGTTAAATGTAAACAGTTTTGTTACACAAGACCCTGCTGTGGCACTTTTGTTATCCACTGAAATAAATCTGATGTGTGGATTCATGAGAGGAAAAGAAAAATTATTTGGGGTTGTTTAAACATAGTTATTATCCGAAGTGGATTTTCTCCCCATATACATCACCCTCTTGGAAAATCAAATAACTGGAAAAATATCTCTTTAACATGAAGGGATACGACCACTGTCCAACACGCTCACTGCTAAGCAGCTCATTACAGATTTACACCAGTAAACACTCACAAATACATATAAAGGTGGAATTTTAAGCATGAAACCACAGACACCGCGATGAGATGTTTGGAGAGAGTGGGAAGATCAGAAAAGTGAGTTAAATGAACCAAAAAACTACCATGAAAAGAAGAGGAAACTCTTAATTTAATCAAAAGATTTCATTCCAAACAGAAAACACAATGCAGTGGTTTTTTTTCAATCTGTACCAAGTTAAAAATAAATTACTGTTGCCTGTTCAAGTCTGATATCCTCTCCTCCACTGCTTATGTGCATGTCATCATGCACCGCTCACTTCCTCAGTGGCAAAGGGATCATGGGTATGACCGTACACACTCAAGTGGACTCCCAATCCTTAGACATGAGGCAGAAAGAGAGTGGTTCTTTTGTGTCCTGTTCAACCTGTTCACTGTGCTATTACTTCTGTTGTCCTTCATAAATTCTTTCATGTTCCCATTTTCCTCAGTTGTAGATCCTCCTGTCTTTCTCCTGTCAGCTCTTTGCATACCCCTCACATCTTGCGAATGACTAGAACAGTGGTGAGAACACCAGCCAAGAAAACCCCCACTGTCTGCCATGTAGGTGTGCCAAAGTAGGAACGAATACCCTCCTAGTAAAATAATAAATAAATAATATTATTACAAGGGATCAAGAGCAGAAGCTTGATTACTAATTGATGTGTTCCATCTGCATGTTAGTTAGCTCCTTACCCAGCCACCTTGCTCCCTGATCCAGTTGATCACATGTTCCCGGAGGTAGTCCATGGTCCAGCTGATAATAGTTCGGATGATATCAGGAACTTTGTTCACAAGAGCCTGCAAAGGTGTGAATGGAAATTGCTTTAGAAACTCTTAATCAGACAGGTCTCAGCTGAAAAACTTAGAAAAAAATCAACTGGACTAGGTTTCTAAGTTGAAGACGTTTCACCTCTCATTCAAGAGGCTTCATCAGTTCTGCCTGACTGGTGTTGAGCCAGAGATATTTATCTCCCTCAGTGGTGTTTCAGTCCTTTGAAAGCCTGGTGGGCATGTTTGGGCAGAGATCTCAAAACAGGATTGTAGATCTACAATCCTGTTTTGAGATCTCTGCCCAAACATGCCCACCAGGACAATAGGCGTCGGTCCACAGGGGAGGATTCAAAGACAGGTAACGACTCTCACTGATACTGGGCTATAAAATGCCTATTCCAACTGAGGAAAAAGTTAGCACACCCTAGCCCCTAATAGCTAGTGTTACCTCCTTTGGCTGAAATAACTGCAGTGAGACGGTTCTTGTAGCCATCTAATAGTCTCTGACATCGGTCTGAGGGAATTTTATCCCACTCCTCAATGCAGAATTGTTTCAGCTGTGAGATGTTTGAGGGGTTTCTTGCATGTACAGCCCTTTTCAAGTCACCCCACAGCATCTCAATGGGATTCAGGTCTGGACTTTGACTCTGCCATTCCAGGACTCTCCATTTCTTCTTTTTCAGCCAGTCTTTGGTTGATTTACTAGTATGTTTTGGGTCATTGTCATGTTGCATGGTCCAGTTCCGCTTCAGCTTTAATTTTCTAACCGATGGTCTCACATGTTCTTCAAGCACCTTCTGATACACAGTAGAATTCATGGTGGATTCTATGATGGTGAGCTGACCAGGTCCTGCTGCAGCAAAGCAGCCCCAAACCATGACACTTCCACCTCCATGCTTCACAGTTGGTATGAGGTTCTTTTCCTGGAATGCTGTGTTTGGTTTACGCCAAACATGTCCTCTGCTCTGGTGTCCAAATAATTCAATTTTGGACTCATCTGTCCAACGAACATTATTCCAGAAGTCCTGGTCTTTGTCAACATTCTCTCTGGTAAATGTCAGTCTGGCCTTGATGTTTCTCTTAGAGAGCAAAGGTTTCCTCCTTGCACGCCTCCCATGCAAGTTAAACTTGTGCAGTCTCTTTCTGATTGTAGAGGCATGCACTTCTACATCAACAGTAGCCAGAGCCTGCTGTAGGTCTCGAGATGACATTTTAGGGTTTTTGGAGACCTCTTTTAGCATCTTGCGGTCTGCTCTTGGTGTGAACTTGCTGGGGCGACCAGACCTGGGCATGTTGGCAGTTGTTTTGAAAGCCCTCCACTTGTAGACTATCTTCCGGACAGTGGAATGGCTGATTTCAAAATCTTTTGAGATCTTTTTAAATCCTTTACCAGACTCATAGGCTGCTACAATGTTTTTTCTGAAGGCCTCTGACAGCTCTTTTGCTCTCACCATGGTGCTCACTCTCACTTCAACAGTCAGGAGCACACCAAACTAAATGTTTGAGGTTTAGATGGGGCAAGCCTCATTCAAAATGCTGAGTAACGATCTACTAATTATGTGCACCTGGTGTGATATACCTGTGTGTGATTTGAGCCATTTTAAGAGGGCATACATGTGAGGGTGTGCTAACTTTTTCCTCAGTTGGAATAGGCATTTTTGTAGAATTACATTTACAGAAGATCTTGAAAAGACTTTTCTTCAGTTTTACTTGTTTAGTTGTATTACTTTAATCTCTCTGTATTGTTAAAATTGAGATTAAATAACTATATATTAAAACATGTTACAAAATACACATGCTTTCAAAGGGTGTCCTAATTTTTTCACATGACTGTATCTCCAGCTCAACACCAGACAGGCAGAACTGATGAAGCCTCTTGGATGAGAGGTGAAACGTCTTCAACCTAGAAACCTAGTCCAGTTGATTTTTTTTTAAGTTTTTTCAGCTTACTATGACCTGGATGACTGAGAATCTGCACAGACAGATAGGTCTCACTTTTTGTTTTTATAATCTACAAATGAGCATCTTAACTCACTTTGATGACAAGCCGACAGGCAAAGTAGAACAGTGCAACCACCCTGCCCCAGTTGAATTTTCCATCTGAGAAGATCTCGAAGGCAACTTTCATAAACATATCCTTTGTGGGACTAAGTGAAGAGTCATTTATCATCCTGAGGAACACAACATGAAGTGATTAGGAACAGGCCAATTATACAGTTATTAGGAAAACATATTCATTCATAATACTCTGAGCTCTGATTTTGCTTAAACAAATACACAGACATGTAGCCTACCTTTGGAGCTCTACATTTGCATCCAGCTCATCTCCAATCTGCTGCAGGCACTGGGCAAGCTTCATGTGGTTTGGGTCACACAGCTCCCCTCCACCCAGCTGTGCCCTGGTCACTAAAGTATTGCTGTCTCCATGCCGCTGAACTCGCTCATAGATGAAACTACGTAGGGGTGCACAGATACACAATAATAAGAATGACATGACTATTTGCCCAGTTCAATAATGAGAAGGCAATGTGTACCATATATACTTACTCTTTCAACAAAACAGCTCCTAATTCTAGTATCTGGTCTTTGGTATTTTCTGAAAGACAGAGGCTGGTATTTAATCATCCAAATGCTAATACAAGTGTTCTACAGCCAGTAATTTATCTCATGCTAGAAATAAATTTGAGAAATCTTTAAGAATATGCGCTAGTATTACTGTAGCTTCACTGTTGTTTCAATCTGGATCTAAAACCACACTTTATACTGAGTTGATTTAGTTTAAGCCCAGCTACAGAAATTCAGCTATTTTTGCCAATGAATTTATTTGTACTGCTGTGCTTAATTCTTTATATCCAATGTGTACGTAACGTTATGTACAAGAACACATTGAGATATATTTACAGTATGCAAAGGCAGCACATAATATCCGTAGTGCTAGTTGCTAAATAAATGAATTAGCTTACGTTAACGTTTATTTGCCGAAATTGGACAATGTTGTGGCTAATGTTACATAAAAATGGGTATCTGTGGTGTCAGAGAAAACGGGGGTCTTTGAAAGTTTGGAGGTAACAGGTTGTAGTCTTTTGCTATGTTGATAACGCTTGCTTATCAAGCTAATGCTAGCTATCAGAGTAAGTGCTAGCTATCGTAAGGCTAACGTTTAGCTATCTTGCTAACCTCGGTTCAGCTAATGTCAGTACTAGCATACAAACATGCCACAACTACAAAACAAGGGTTATCTGTTAAAGTGTTGGATTATTTGTCTTTACCAAACTGTTTACGACACTGTCACGTTCAAATTCATTTTATAACATTATTAATTCCAGCTACTACCTTGATCACCTCCTACCGGCCGTGATGCCATCTTGTTTTCTTTATGGACAGCTTGTACTTCCGTACAATACTGTGATTTTCATGTATTTGCCTGAGAGCGGCTGCATGATTATCAGAGATACCGTTATTCCACTCTTGACTGAGACTGATATGTTTATAACGTTAAATCCGCGGCAGTGAAGTCATTCACTTTTGGCTATGTTTTACAAACCTTTTCACTGCAGCGTCACACTTGTTACACCACTTATGGACGACGATTTGGGATAGCTTGGGCTGCTAATAAACAAAGAAGGGTTTAAAGAATGTGTTGACATTGTATGATGCATCAAAAAAATTGTGAAACAATAAAAAAAAACATATGTGTTGACTTTTTGAGCTGCTTCTTTTCTTAAACGTCACTTCCTGTCCCTCGTTGTCTTCCGTCTGTGACGCGCATGTTCAGGCCTCTTTACGACTCGGCAGGCAAACATGGCGGATGCACAAGTATGTACAGAAAAACGGCGTGGTGAATTTAAGTCGATATAAATATACTTTTTATTACCCGCACTGGTACGATTATATTAAGATAGTGTCATTACGTGCTCCACAAACGTGACGCTGAGCCATCTTAAGGCACACTCAGGCTTTTACACCTTATATTTGTTACCGATCTGTGTACCCTCGTGCAACGCTAAACTGCCCGGAATGCTAACTCTGTTAGCCTTTTCTGCCACTAATGTAACGTTACCCATTTACATCAACGTCTTATTTTAGCTGTAATGCCAGTGATGGCGAGTCCCATCGGAACACAATACCTCGAATTCACCTTAACGATATCTCGTCAGTGAAAGACGATGCGAATTGTTTGTAAGAGGAAGTGAATATTGAAGCAGTAAACTTGGAAGCAGTGATAAGTGTGTGTTGGTCTTTTTTTTCCACAGACTGAGAGGGCTTATCAGAAACAGCCCACCATCTTTCAGAACAAGAAGCGTGTTCTGGTCGCTGATGGTGGCAAGGAGGGCAAAGAAAAGCTCCCCCGCTACCACAAGAGTGTTGGGCTGGGCTTCAAAACCCCAAGAGAGGTAAAACATAGGCTGGAAACCTCTTCAAACTAGTTGAAATAAGTTCTTCACTGTAAGCTGCAAGTGATGCATTTTCTCACGATGGTCTTCCAAGCCCGCAGGGTACTGACGAAATGCCTTTTGGCTAAACTGATGCAGCCACAAAAGTTAAAATATTACATGATTTCATTGCTGTGGGTGATGAAGTTGCAATAATAATAATACTGTCTATTTTCTCCAGGCTATTGAAGGCACTTATATTGACAAGAAATGCCCCTTCACCGGAAACGTCTCCATCCGTGGCCGTATTCTCTCAGGTCAGTTGATCATCAAACTTAAATACTAGCTCATTGGCATAATGACTCTTTTATTTTTGGTCGCTGTCCTGCAAATGATGGTTTTTCTCACGATGGTCTTCCAAGCCCCCTGGGTTCTGACGACAGTGCCTAATGGCAACACTGATGTAGTCTAGTGACAACACTGGAAAGAGCAGTCTCTCAAGTCCTCCTGGTGTTTTTAATGCCTTCTGTAAAACCTGTGTATTCTGCCTGTTCTGAAGGTGTGGTCACCAAAATGAAGATGCAGAGGACCATCGTTATCAGACGTGACTACCTGCATTACATCCGCAAGTACAACCGCTTTGAGAAAAGGCACAAGAACCTCTCTGTGCATCTGTCACCTTGCTTCAGGTACCATCTTAGGGTCTCAGCAGTCACAGCAAATGTAATGTGATATTCTTGCCCAAAAGTATTATCAGCCTTGTCAGACATGTACTCCTTTCCATTAACCTGATGGCACCAGAACATGTTGGTTTCATGTCTGAATGAGCACCTTGTTCACTTTTCCATATAAGTTGTGACTGCCAAATTATTATTGAGCTCATAGTAAAAGGTGGTATTGTACTGGAGTACATTATATTCAGATGTTCCTAATACTCCGACATTCTCATGTATCTAACTACGGAGGACAAAAATATAGACACCTGTAAATAAAATGTAGTCCAGTACAACGACACCTTTAACTATGACCTCAATAATAAACATTGAATTTATACATTTATGACAATTTCACCAAAAACTGGAGCATTTTGATCTTCATAAACACAGATGTTAAGGTGGAAGTGTTAAACTCAATGGCATACATTTGTACAGGTGTACCTAATAAAGTGTCTGGAGGGTGTATGTCTGAATGACAAAGCCACTGCTTTAACAAATTTCTGAAGATAGCAATGTCCAAAACGGGCTATATTTTGCTGCAAATGATGTTCTTTATCACGATGGTCTTCCAAGCTCAGGAAGCTCTGACGACATCGCCTTTGGCAAAACACTGATGCAGCTTGGATTTACAGCTCCTTCTCCAACAGGCTTTGTTTTATCTGCTAGGTCTTCAACAGAGAGACCCCAGCTACATGTTAATATTTGTTTTGTGTTTTCTGCAGAGACGTCACAGTTGGAGACATTGTGACCGTAGGAGAGTGCCGACCCCTCAGCAAGACCGTGAGGTTCAATGTCCTGAAAGTGACAAAGGCTGCTGGAGCCAAGAAGCAGTTCCAGAAGTTTTAGGCGTGTGACTATGAACAGGATGGCTGCGTTTGGCTAACTTGTCTCACTGTCAAATAAAGAAAACCTTGTTTAAGTTTAGTTTTTTGCAGTTTGTCTTTCTCATTCTAAAATGTTTTACTGCATCTCCTCTGGATTTGGAACCAAATAATACGCGCACATCATCAGTTCTCTTCGCCATCTTTTGTTTTTCAGCTACACAAAGTCTTGCTAGTGCATAATGTGGCGGTATGCTAAATATTACAAGATGGTGTGTGACAGATTGTTATAGATGGCATCATATGAAAGTAATTTTAAGAAATGATGCTGGAAAAAGCACAACAATCAATAGAAAGATCCATTGGTAGGCTTTAGTGGAGATGTGGTTTATTTTAGACAATGTCAAGGTGGTGAAATACAAAATTTAACGGTTTTTCAAAATTCAATAAATATTAAGTTACTTCATACAGAGACCCCACCGCCATCCTTCCAGCGTCTGGGCCCTAGACCTACAGTATGTCCATTAGGCCCATTCAGTAAAAAAGTTTCTTCACCTGGTGTGCTATATAAACATATACATGCATATATGCTTGCTGGCCACTTTATTAGGTACACTGGTACAATTGTGTGCCATTCAGTGTAACACTTCCATCTTGACATCTGTGTTTATGAAGCTCAAAATATTTCAAGTTTTTGGTGAAATTGTCAAATGTATAAGTTGAGTTGTACATTTATTATTGAGGTCATAGTTAAAGGTAGTGTTGTATTGGGCTACGTTATATTTAGAGATGTCCCTATATTTTTCCTCCCTGGTTACATACGTGAGGTGGTCAGAATATTAGGAACTTAATTTTCTACCTCATCAAGCGGCCGGTGATTGGATACAACCACACATTGCCAAATTTGGAGCCAAACTAAGAAAACATGACTTGTAATTTGTTACGGGATATAGGGCAATGCACATAGTACACATGGAGTATACAGTTGAAAATATGTGGAACTTGCATTCAGCTGTACAAGTCATGCACATTTTGACAGAAAGACAATGTTTACAGTTATGCAACAGTATAGATTCAGTGATACCCAGGTGAGGTGTGTGTGGAATAACATGAAGAACCAGATGCAGTGAACTATGTGTCTTAAAAAAATATATTTGTATATTTTGTTAGGGGGTCAGCAACAGTTAACTGAGTTAACAGTTTTAGTTCAAATTCAAATGAGTCATACTAATACAGTGTATACCTTGTGTATCTTATTTAATTAAAATATCAATATTCCTGTAGACAGCAGCGCCCCGCGGTGGTTCCAAAATTTTCTATGTTTTCCACATAAAGCAGATGTGTCCAGCAGAGGGTGAAAGATCACTGTTTTATGCTGAATCTAAAACAATGATGAATCAGTGGACGAGCTACTTTGTGTATTTGTATATCCATTTGAGCTCAAGTTAAAAACTCCTCTGGTTATAATTTAAAAATCCAAAATGTGCATGTATAAATTATCTTTTTAATTTGTGTATTGTGAAAGAGTTGCTCATTTACAAAAATAATGAATCAAAAATTGGAAACAACATGGCTTCCTACAAATAATTAGGAATCTGAAAAACTAACTTATTCACTTTTTGGTCTGAATGTGATTGAATGACTGAATGTGTGAACCTGTAAGAGCTTTGGCTAATTTGGAGAATTTTTTTTCTTTCCAAAATCCATTTTCAGGTCTCACATTTTTTAAAGTAATGAATAATTTAATCTCAGCATTAGTGACATAAAGAATAAAGCAGGTTTAATAATAAGCAGGATTATGGAAAACCCAGTATGTGGTAAAAAAAAAAAAAAAAGCCTGCTTTGTACAGTATTATTGTAGCTGGCGAATATGATGGAAATCTAGATGAATGCAGTTACAGTTGACAGGGTGAATTATCTTCATTTGGAACACGCTTGACTTAATATCACCCACAGCAACTTTGAAGTAATTTAATTATTGTCCATCACTAATCGTGGCTTGCCAGTCACAGTGGTCAGCTACAGTGAATATGAAAAGTTGACACACACCTTTAAAAATGCCAGGCTTTTGAGATGTGACAAAAATCAGACCAAGATGAATCACTTTAGAATTTTTCCCAAATTTAATGTGACTTTTAATCTATGCAACTCAATTAAAAAACAAACTGAAATTGTTTAGTGGGGAAAAATAAAAATAAAAACTAGAATAATGTGGCTGCATATACACACCCTGTCATAATTAGGGATGTTGCTGTGTTCAGAATCAGCCAATCACATTCAAACTTATGTTAAATAGTAATCAGTACACACCTGAGAATCCAAACAAACACAGGCAAATATACCAAGCATAGATCTCAGTGCAATCATGGTCTGTTGGCATCAGCTGAGTCATTTGCTGGATAGATGGCTGGATGTTGTTTTTAAAGTGCTATATAAATAAATTTGATTTGATTTGCATGCCCTTATTTGTGCTTGAGAAGATGATCACTCTTCTGTATGGGAATTAGTGAGGTACAAGCCCCCCCACCTGGGCCCTTTGTCTGAGTGGCCATGGTAGAGGCATCACTATTAACATAATGACGCTGTCCTTACCCCAGTGAATGTGAACCATATGGCAAAGAGGAGA